ACCCTATTATGATACTTGCATCAATTTGGTGTTTGAACGTCTTAACACCTGTTTTATTCCCCGAAAGGGTAAAACCAATTAAATTTTTGTTCACATGTTTAGCTGAACTTCCCGTGCACTATTCCTCGATCAAACCTGCGTGACCGCCGGCTGCCGACTCGGTCCCGCGAGCCCGCCATCCGTGCGCCACCGCGTCATCGACAGGATTCCAGGCCATCGGCGTCAATCGCCATTTCATTTGAAACCGAAGGGATCTCGACGAGCTATGAAGCACTTTTTCACAGACGTCCAGTAAGGGGGTCCGGGGTGGGGGGATGGGGGTGGTCAGCGAGTTACAACAACAAACAAACAATACACTTCGGGGCAGCCCAGGAGGCACAGCCTAAGCGCGGCCACAAAGACCAAGAGCCATTGTGACCGCCGTCCGAGCGGTTGATGCATTCATCCCACCTGGGAGAGAAACGCAGACTCGACACCCTGCGAGATTTTTTCGTCCAACATCTCGCTGGGATGTGTCTTGTCTCGACCCCCCCCCCCCCCACAACACCCACAGTGGCTGTGCCCCAGCCCACTCCACCATGTCTAGGACCTCAAGGCTCCTCACACCCCTGTCAGGTGGCCCTTGAGTCCGGGACTTCCAGACATTCCTGGCCACCGCCGCGTTCATTAGTTCATTCATTAGTTAATTCATTAGTTAATTCGTTAGTTCATTCATTAGTTCATTCGTCGCGTTATAGCCGGCGGTGGGGCCCATCGCGCCCAACGGTGTGACCTCTTGCGACAGCGTTCGCGTAAACCGCTCTTCCTAGCCGTAACCCCGGTGTCTCGAAGGCTTTGTTTGACCCACGGATCACGGGGGGGGGGGGGGGGGGGGGGGTGGAGAGACCACAGAGGGCAGCGCCATTCCATCGAGGTTCGCTGCATCCAGTGATTTTGCTGTAACTGTTCCACCTGAAGATGGAAGCTTGTGTTGCCTCCGAAACGTCGTGATTTAATTGTTTTCTTTCATTTTGTTTTATTTTACGTACGTGACTTTACGGAATAAAACCAAAGAGCATAAGAATAGGGTTTATACCCTTTCTGGCAATACAACGGGAGGTGTTAAGAAGTTAAAACACCAAACAGAAACCTTTTGCAAGGAATCGTGTCCGCATTAAGGTGGGGGCCAACGTGCGCACAGAGCGAAGCCGCAGGCCGCCTCCCCCTCGAGTCGTGAGCTCTCGATCCCCCGGAGACCGGCCGCTGATGCGACGGTGACATTTCTGACGAAGGCGAAACCATTGGACGCCAAGGGGGGCGTCGTTGGCACCGCGTGTGAAAAGTACTGGCAGCCGATCCAAATCGGCTCGAAGCAATGTCCGGGCCTCCCCACCGTTACGACAACAAAAAACTGACGAAAACACAAAGAGTTCCCTCCCGAACCCCGTGTATCATCGGAACCAAGTAAGAGTCCGCCAGTCACTGCCGAGACCCCGAGACTTCCGGACCCCCGTCGTGCGGTGTCCCAGGCCCCAGAGCATTAACCCTGCCAGGAGTTGAAGGTGGCCAGTGCTCTACCCGTCGCCACATCTCGGATGGAGCACCCAAGCTCCCAGCTAACCTGTAGCTGCACTCGATGGAAGCGGTCGGGGGGTCGATCGACTCCAGTGCTCAGCGGTTCACTCCGGTCACTCGCTCGCCAGCGGTCAGTCGCCTCCTTATCACTCTTGTATCGCTACAGAGGCCGCATTGCGTTCACTAAGAACGTCTGGAACGCTCTTCCTGACGATATTCGGAAGCCACTGGAGCTATGCACTTTGAAATCATCATCGAGATTGACAGATTCCCTCCTTTAGAATTGCTTGTCGTGTGTTTAGTTTGTTGTCCTTCCCACGCACCTCCGATTGGCACGGTTGGCTACGTATGGTGCAAAAGAAGTTCAACATAATACACTCACACAGAGACCCATAGACTCACACAGAGGCCCACAGACTCACATAGAGACCCATTACTTTAGAACTGCATTTAGTGTGTTGCTTTGTTGTCCTTTCCCCGCACCTCTGATTGGCACGGTTGGCTACGTACGGTGCAAGATGAGTTCAGCATACGTACATGCATACTCTCTGGTTCTTTTGATGATGACCGGTGCTCACCTGATGACGGATGCTTGTGTTGCGACCGAAACGTCGTGTTTCTTTTATTTTATTTTCTACCTACATGGACTTTACCGAAAGAACCAGAGAGTGTGGATTCCTGCGGTCACGAAAACTTCAAATAAAGACGTACATACATTTCTAGATTTGAAGCTTCCGTGACTGCAAGGATTCATATTCTTTGTTTTTTTCGGTAAAGTCACGTAGGTAAAATATACAACAAACATAGACACAACTTCAACCGAGAGGATGGTTTCAAATTGAGCAACCATTGGAAAGATGTTATAAACCAAGTCAAACGCTAGCCGCCTTATAATTTTACAGCCATTTCCATTGCTCTCAGTAGGTTGCATGTCAAACTTTAGCTGCCTTATAATTGTACAGCCATTTACATTGCTTTCTAACAAAAATGGGGTTGTACTCGCCCCCGTGTAGCATGCCATCAAGCCCCCTGCAGCATAACAAAAGTTGGCTTAACTTAGCCCTCCACCCCACCAACGTCCATTTCTGGCTCCTCCTCCCCCCCCCCCCCTTAACCTGTATATAATCCCGATCGTCTCAAGAGCTCCACCACTTGGCACAGCTATTCCCCTGTGACTGTTCCACCTGAAGACGGAAGCTTGTGTTGCCTCTAAAACGTCGTGATTTAATTTAGTTATTTTATTTTACCTACGTGACTTTACCGAAAAAAACAAAGGCTAGACGTACATACATATTCATAATATATGTATATACTTGGCCCATACATTCTTAGTCAGGGCCCGGCTCAGGCTTGGCTGGAGAGCGACGCTCAACTTGAGCCATGGCTCTTGAGCACGGTCCCAGCCAGGCTCGGCAATTCCACCAGCCGAGCCCGAGCTGAGCCACGGCTGAGCCGCTCACTCAGGGCCAGTGCTGGATGAAGCTAGTGCGGGGCCTGTAGCATGATGTTGTAAAGGGGCTCTAAATAAAAAAACCATAAATATTAAAACACACATTTTTTACTTGCACAGTAAAGTAAATTGTATTTTTTTCATTTGCTATACAGCCAGATAATACGACAAATCGCTAACCTTAAACACCCGGTCGTTCATAACAGTCGAAGGCGGTATAGTACTATAGTAATAGAGCAAGTGCAAAATCACTGAACCGGAGTTGATAGCTTGAAAGCGTTTAGCGCGGGGCTCTTGAAAGTGCGGGGCCCGTAGCTACTACTACATTTGTAGCCACATTTGATACGAGGATCATCCGGTAGTGTACGATGGATGTAGTTTTTTTGAGCGGAGAGTTAATTAGTTTGTTATCCTTTCCCCACGCACCTACAATAAGCACGGTTGGCTACGTACGGTGCGAAAGAGGTTCAACATACATAGACTCACACAGATATCCAGAGACTCACACAGACCCCCATAGACTCACACAGATATCCATACACTCACACAGAAACCCATAGATTCACACAGAGACCCATAGACTCTCACAGAGACCATAGACTCACACAGACACCCATATACTCACACAGAGACCCATAGACTCACAGAGAGACCCACAGACTCATACAGTACAGAGAGCCAGACTCACACAGAGACACAGACTCACACAGAGACACAGAGACTCACACAGAGGCCCATAGACTCACACAGAGACCCATAGACTCACACAGAGACCCATAGACTCACACAGAGACCCATAGACTCACAGAGAGCAAGTGCAGAATCACTGAACCGGAATCGATAGCTTGAAAGCATTTAGCGCGGGGCCCTTTAAAGTGCGGCGCCCGTAGCATTTGTAGACACTTTTGCTACGAGGATCATCCGGCACTGCTCAGGGCCGTAATATCCAATGGGCCACAGTAGTCACTGTGGCCAAGGGGCCTACGAAAACTAAAGGGCCTACGAAAAAAAATGTTGACCACGTCTTTGTTGTTTGTACAATAACAAAAATATTCCACCAAGGTATCTTCTTGAATAAATATATTTTTGTAGCAAGGATGGTGCACGGTGTATATACAAAGAGGCAGAATCATGTCAATGTCAAGCGAGATAAATTAACACCGGAGATGAACTTTTAGAGACTTTTTCATTGCAACATTAGCAATAACATCTCCACATGGTGTTTTTTGCACAATAGGGGGTTAGTGCAAGGGAAGACTAGGCGTCGCTGGCCTATGGTTGATCGGAGAAAGTTTTTGTTTGTTTAATCGGCTTCGAAAAGAGAACGCTCCCCTTCACAATTCGAAGTATCGCGTGAAACAAGCGGCTGACAGCGGCGCAAGTAGCTGCAGTACCGACCGTCGAAGGTTATCACTGAAGGCCTACGAAACAGAAGTACCTAGCGCCTACAAGAACCTTAACCCGGCCCTACGCTCGCTCGCCCGCTCGCTCTCGCGCCTTCGGAGGCTGCCGAGCGGCTTGAGGCTGCGCTGAGCCTGAGCCGTTAAGAGGACCGAGGCAGAGCCGAGCCTCGGCTCTGAAAACACCGCCCCTAGAGTCCCCGCACCACGGCTGAACTCCCGGTCCACTCGGCCAGGAGGCTGAGAAGAACGCTGGTGACCACCGCTTGTACTGTAGAGACCCCCCCCCCCGGCCACCACTGCGAGGCCCCCACGTGCTGGGGGGGGGGTCCCCGGTGCCCATTGGACCCCCTGAGTGGTGTCCCCGTGATTGCCTCATGGGCAGTGGGGGGGGGGGGGCCCAGCCAAACTGGACACCTTTATTCATTTAGTTTCAGTAATTAAGATAAAAAATAAATGCGTTAATTACACGCACCTGCGATTTCTAATGTGATACAAAGCGACCCCCATGCCCCCCAAATTTAGGAGTCCAACTCCGCCTATACCCCCCTACCCCTTACCCCCCTACCCCCCGTGCCCGCCCGCCCGCAACTCACCGCACGAGAAGCAGGTGAAGCAGGAGGTGTGGTAGAGTCCGTCCATGGCCTGGCATGCTTGACCCGCACCGTACACCCCCGCGTTACACTTGACGCACATGCCTGGTGGGGGGGGGGGGGGGGGTTGTGGGGGGGGGCTTGTAAGGTGAGGGCACAGTTGGTGCATTGGGCAGTCATCTCAGTCAGTCGACCCGTGGCACCACCTGGGTGTGACCCTCGTGACCTCCTGCTGCCGGCGGGCGTTCGACACTTCACGTGGCCTCAACGTGCACGTAGCCTGGCACAAGCGCCGTGGTTACATCGCCGCCACTTAGCGGCTAATGGCAGTTGTTGTTATTGTAAGATGAGAGACAAAGGCGGTCGGGCGGGCGGGCGTGTGTGTGTGTGCTGCCGGTCAACGATCCCACTCGCGTGTCACGGCTGGCTACGTGGCAGTGCGAAAGAAGTTCAACATGCGTGCGTGCGTGCGTTGCGAAGGTGCTGCTCGTGAACAGCGCTTGCCCCCAACATTCTGTTGAGGCTATACGGGGAGGGATCTTTGCCTCTTTGAAGTACAGTGAGGGAAAAAAGTATTTGATCCCCTTGCTGATTTTGTACGTTTGCCCGCTGACAAAGAAATGATCGGTCTATAATTTTAGTGGTAGGTTTATTTGAACAGTGAGAGACAGAATAACAACAAAAAAATCCAGAAAAACGCATGTCAAAAATGTTATAAATTGATTTGCATTTTAAGGAGGGAAATAAGTATTTGACCCCCTTTCAATCAGAAAGATTTCTGGCTCACAGGTGTCTTTTATACAGGTAACGAGCTGAGATTAGGAGCACACTCTTAAAGGGAGTGCTCCTAATTTCAGCTTGTTACCTGTATAAAAGACACCTGTCCACAGAAGCAATCAATCAATCAGATTCCAAACTCTCCACCATGGCCAAGACCAAACAGCTCTCCAAGGATGTCAGGGACAAGATTTTAGACCTACACAAGGCTGGAATGGGCTACAAGACCATTGCCAAGCAGCTTGGTGAGAAGGTGACAAAAGTTGGTGCGATTATTCGAAAATGGAAGAAACACAAAAGAACTGTCAATCTCCCTCGGCCTGGGGCTCCATGCAAGATCTCACCTCGTGGAGTTGCAATGATCATGAGAACGGTGAGGAATCAGCCCAGAACTACACGGGAGGATCTTGTCAATGATCTCAAGGCAGCTGGGACCATAGTCACCAAGAAAACAATTGGTAACACACTACGCCGTAAAGGACTGAAATCCTGCAGTGCCCGCAAGGTCTCCCTGCTCAAGAAAGCACATATACATGCCCGTCTGAAGTTTGCCAATGAACATCTGAATGATTCAGAGGACAACTGGGTGAAAGTGTTGTGGTCAGATGAGACCAAAATGGAGCTCTTTGGCATCAACTCAACTCGCCGTGTTTGGAGGAGGGATGCTGCCTATGACCCCAAGAACACCATCCCCACCATCAAACATGGAGGTGTAAACATTATGCTTTGGGGGTATTTTTCTGCTAAGGGGACAGAGCAACTACACCGCATCAAAAGGACGATGGACGGGGCCATGTACCGTCAAATCTTGGGTGAGAACCTCCTTCCCTCAGCCAGGGCATTGAAAATGGGTCGTGGATGGGTATTCCAGCATGACAATGACCCAAAACACACGGCCAAGGTAACAAAGGAGTGGCTCAAGAAGAAGCACATTAAGGTCCTGGAGTGGCCTAGCCAGTCTCCAGACCTTAATCCCAAAGAAAATCTGTGGAGGGAGCTGAAGGTTCGAGTTGCCAAACGTCAGCCTCGAAACCTTAATGACTTGGAGAAGATCTGTAAAGAGGAGTGGGACAAGAAACGTCTGACCTCTGTGGTTGCCAACAAGGCTTTTGCCACCAAGTACTAAGTCATGTTTTGCAGAGGGGTCAAATACTTATTTCCCTCGTTAAAATGCAAATCAATTTATAACATTTTTGGCATGCGTTTTTCTGGATTTTTGTTGTTATTCTGTCTCTCACTGTTCAAATAAACCTACCATTAAAATTATAGACTGATCATTTCTTTGTCAGTGGGCAAACGTACAAAATCAGCAGGGGATCAAATGCTTTTTTTCCCTCACTGTAGATGATGGCCACTCAACTGGAAGCTACATCGGAGTGCATACGCACCGTCCATTTCTGCCTCTCGGTATGATTCCCAGCATGCGCCTCTCCTTTGTACATTTATATATTTTCTATAAATCACGGCTGCTGAGCACGGACCACGGAAACGTCCAGCGGCCAGCAACAATCAGCACGATCGCCACAGTTGTAGCCGACGAGCGGTGAACACGTTTCAGGGATCGAGCGAGGCGAGTGTGGTGGGTGTGATGAGTGTGGTGGGTAGTGTGGTAAGTGAGCGGGTGGGTGGGTGGGAGCGGTGGCGCAACGGTTAGCGCTACGCTGCGCTACGATCCCGGCGACCCGCGCTCGATTCCCGCTCACGGCAAACACCGGTGACGATTATCTGAACCGGTCCTGGGTCTCCCCAAGGTCGACTCAGCCTCAAACGAGTACCTGGTGCGGTGTGTAAACATCGCCACTGGGGAGACAAAGGCGGTCGGGCGTGGTGCTGGCCACCCGCCCCCTCGTGTGCCGTGCCGGCATTCATAGGTGCTCGCTAACAGCACTTGCCCCAACAGTCTGTTAAAGGCTACACGGGGGATCTTTGTCTTGTGGGTGGGTGGGTGAGCGTGTGTTGTTGTTGTTACCTGCAGTGTGGTGGTTGAACACCCTGTGGATGAGACAAAACTAGTCCAGTAAACATGCCAACGTTGGCATGTGGTTGGCCCAACGTCGGCCCAACGTTGGCAGGTGGTTGGCCCAACGTTGGCCTAACGTCGGTCCAACGTTGATATGTGGTTGGCCCAACGTCGGTCCAACGTTAGCAGGTGGTTGGCCCAACGTTGGCCCAACGTCGGTCCAACGTTGGTATGTGGTTGGCCCAACGTCGATCCAACGTTGGTATGTGGTTGGCCCAACGTCGATCCAACGTTGGCAGGTGGTTGGCCCAACGTTTGTCCAACGTTGGCCCACATTCCATGTTTCCTAGGGCTCTGCTAGACCGAGACCTCAACGGAACGATTCCTTCCCGTCTCTCCCCCCACTCACCAAAGTACTCGGCCTTGCACCGCGTCTCCAGCTCCTGCTCCAACCTCAGCGTCAGTGCCTCCAGCTTCACCTCCGCGCTGCTGCAACCCCCACCACCACCACCACCACCTCCTCCACCACCACCACCTCCTCGAGCGTCTACATCATCGCTCCTCCTCCTCCCCTCCTCCTCCTCCACGTGCGCCCTCGACGGCCTTCGCCTCTCAGCGGCCGTGTCGAGCGCCAGGCACGGCAGGCGCGTGGACGTCTGGGCCGCGCTGGGGGCCGAGCGGACCGGCTGCAGTGGCCGGGCGGTGCCCAGAGGGGCCGGGTGGTGAGGTTGAGGGTGGGGAGCTTGAGGGTGGGGAGCTTGAGGGTGGGGAGCTTGAGGGTGGGGAGCTTGAGGGTGGTGAAGTTGAGGAGGAGGCAGGGCCACTCTCCCCGCTACTGCATCCCATGCCCGCGGTGCGTAGCTCTTAGCTGGCAGCGGCGGTGGCGGCTCCTCCTGCTGCTGCTGCTGATGATGATGCTGGTGATGATGATGCTGGTGATGCTGCTGATGCTGCTGCTGTTGATGATGCTGGTGATGCTGAAGCTGCTGCTGCTGCTGCTGCGCCAGCGGAGGAGTCCCGCGGTGCTGCTGCTGTTGCTGCTGCTGCACCAGCTGGTGCTTCTGCTGCAGGAGCAGCTGCTGGTGCAGCGGCTGAGCGAAGCTGCCGCTCTCGCGCGGGCTCGGCGTCATCTCGGCGTCCAGGCCGGCCCCGTAGCGGCTCTGCAACTGCTGCACCTGCTGCACGAGCTGCAGCTGCTGCTGCTGCTGCAGCTGCTGCTGCTGCTGCTGCTGCTCGGTGTAGCTGGAGCGAGGGCTCGCGAGTTGCGAGCAGGCGCTGCTCGCGAGCGAGGAGCGCGCGCTTGGGAAGCGTGTGTCGTAGCCCATGCTGATGCCGCTGGTGCGGTTGCTGCTGCTGCCGCCGCCGCCGCAGCCACCGCTGCTGCTGGTGACGCTGCCGCGGGGGCTGCCCAGAAGCGGCGGCGGAGGCGGCGGCGGCGGTGCCGGTTCGGACTCGTGCCCGGCGGGCGTGGGGCTCGGGTAGCCGCACTCGAGAGCCGGCGAAGGCAAGCCGCTGCCGGTGCTGCCGTAGCTGCGCCGCTGCTGGTGCTGCTGGTGGTGCTGGTGGTGCTGCTGCTGTTGGTGGTGCTGCTGGTGGTGCTGCTGCTGGTGCTGCTGCAGCTGTTGGTGGTGCTGCTGCTGGTGCTGCTGCTGGTGCTGCTGCAGCTGCTGCTGGTGCTGCTGGTGGTGCTGCTGGTGCTGCTGGTGGTGCTGCTGCAGCTGCTGGTGGTGCTGCTGCTGGTTCTGCTGCTGGACCAGTCTGGGAGCCGGCTCGCCGCCGTAGAGGCTGGGGGGGCGAGCGGTGCCCAGCACGGCGAAGGCGCAGAGGCTCGCCGGCTCCCCGGTGAAGCGGGCGACGTGGGCCGAGTGGCGCCGACCCCTGGGCCGCTCGGCCCGAGACGGCGCCGCAGCCGCTCCGCCCGGCGGGGCCCCGCACGGCGCCAGGGGCTCGCTCCGCACTCGCTCCATCGGAGAGCAGGGCTCCTGCCACCACCACCACCACCACAATCACACTGTGTTCAACCTTCACCACACTGTGTTCAACCACCACCACCACCACCACACTGTTCAACCACCATCACCACCACACTGTGTTCAACAACCACCACCACTATCACTGTGTTCAACCACCACCACCACCACCACACTGTTCAATCTTCACCACCACCACCACCACCACACTGTTCAACCACCATCACCACCACACTGTGTTCAACAACCACCACCACTATCACTGTGTTCAACCACCACCACCACCACCACACTGTTCAATATTCACCACCACCACCACTACCACACTGTGTTCAACCACCACCACCACACTGTGTTCAACCACTACCAACAACAACAACCACCATTCGCCACTAAGTGGCGGTGACGTCACCACGACGCTTGTGCCAGGCCATGTGCACCTTGAGGCCACGTGAAGTGTCGAATGCCCGCTTGCAGGAGGTCACGGGGCAGACCCAGGTGCCACGGGTCGACTGACTGAGATGACTGGCTGATGCACCACCTGTGCCCCCTACTGTGCCAACTTGTTGTGCCTTAGCCACCCGACGCTCTGCACGTTGTTGTGAGCGTCGCTCCTCCGCCCTCCCTTGTTAGAGGGCGACTGCCTCCAACTGCCCAGTAGCAGCGTCCTTCACGAGCCTCCTCCACAGAGGCCGATCTTGACACCGCTGCTACCGGTCATCGGCAAGTCCACTCAGCTCCACATCCTCCTGTACCACATCACTCCATCTTTTCTCTAGCCCGTGCCACGCCCGTTTAGCCCCCTCGATCCGACCGAACAAAAGCTGTTTAGGCATGCGGTGGCTTGGCTTGTGGGCTTTATGACCCAGCCAGCGCAGTCTTGCCTGCCGGAGGAGCTCACCGATGGGACTTTGTCCACATCTTTCAAGAATTTGTGAGCTCCTCACACAATCCAGCCTGGTTAAACCCAGGATGGATCGTAGGCAAGCCAGCCTAAATGTTTCTAACCGGCGAAGATGTTCCATTAGAGGGGTCCACGTTTCGCAAGCTTAGAGAAGGGAGGGAATGACTGTGGCCGAGAAGAAATGAAGCTTCGTGCAGAGTGATAGACCAGGTAGCTTCCACACAGCGTTACGCAACCGATGATAAGATAATGTCGCTCGACTGATTTGGAGTGAGACTTCTGCTGTTAAACCGGAGCCGGTGATGAGCACACTGCCAAGGTATGGGAAACTCTCCACTCTCTCCACAACTGCCCTATCACCAATTGGGAGTTGTGGGGGTGGAGTGTCCGATGGTACAAAATACCCAGGCAGGTGCTTAGTTTTGGTGGGGCTGATGGTAAGGCCCCCACCTCTTGATGGCAAGCTCCAGGTTCAGCATCAGCGCCTCCAACTCCTCCTCTGATTGAGCAGCAATTACCAGGTCATCGGCATACATAACGTGGTTGAGCAATAGGGAGCCATCCTTTGACTGCACCCGGGCATCGATCAGCCTCCCATTGTATCTGTACCAAATAGAAATTCCTCCAGTACAGCTATTGAAGGCTTCACGAACTACGTGGTCAAAATAGATGTTAAAAATTGTGGGAGCCAGAGGACATCCCTGTCGCACCACCACCACACTGTGTTAAACCACCATCACCACCACACCATGTTCAACCACCACCACCACCACCACCACCACAGTGTTCAACCACCACCAACCACACTGTTTTCAACCACCACCACCACCACCACGATGTGTTCAACCACCACCACCACCACACTGTGTTAAACCACCATCACCACCACAACATGTTCAACCACCACCACCACCACCACAGTGTTCAACCACCACCACCACCACCACACTGTGTTCAACCACCACCACCACACTTGTGTTCAACCACCACCACACTGTGTTCAACCAACACCACCACCACCACCACACTGTGTTCAACCACGACCACCACGATGTGTTCAACCACCATCACCACCACACTGTGTTCAACCAACACCACCACCACCACAATGTGTTCAACCACCACCACCACACTGTGTTCAACCAACACCACCACCACCACCATGATGTGTTCAACCACGACCACCACGATGTGTTCAACCACCACCACCACACTGTGTTCAACCACCACCACCACCACCACGATGTGTTCAACCACCACCACCACCACACTGTGTTAAACCACCATCACCACCACAACATGTTCAACCACCACCACCACCACCACAGTGTTCAACCACCACCAACCACACTGTGTTCAACCACCACCACCACCACCACGATGTGGTCAACCACCACCACCACGATGTGTTCAACCACCACCACCACACTTGTGTTCAACCACCACCACACTGTGTTCAACCAACACCACCACCACCACCATGATGTGTTCAACCACGACCACCACGATGTGTTCAACCACCACCACCACACTGTGTTCAACCAACACCACCACCACCACCACAATGTGTTCAACCACCACCACCACACTGTGTTTAACAACCGCCACCATCACCACACTGCAGGTCACAACGCTTTCTGCTTCCACTATGGGAGTCTCCCGCATCACTCAAGTTCATCCCTACGACCTCATCCCGAGGCGGCCGGGCGTGGTGCTGGACACCCCAACCCCCTCGTGTGCCGTGTTCCGGCCTTCACAGGTGCTGCTACTCGCTAACAGCACAAGCCCCAACAGTCTGTTACAGGCCACACGGGGGGATCATTGGCTTTGTATGTACGTTGAACTTATTTCGCACCGTACGTAGCCAACCGTGCTATTCGGAGGTGCGGGGGAAGGACAACAAAGCCGTTCAAAATAAATAGTTCTCTGTGTGAGTCTGTGGGGCTCTGTGTGAGTCTGTGGGTCTCTGTGTGAGTCTGTGGGTCTCTGTGTGAGTCTGTGGGTCTCTGTGTGAGTCTGTGGGTCTCTGTGTGAGTCTGTGCGTCTCTGTGTGAGTCTGTGGGTCTCTGTGTGAGTCTATGAGTCTCTGTGTGAGTCTATGGATATCTGTGAGTCTATGGGTCTCTGTGTGTGAGTCAATGGGTATCTGTGAGTCTATGGGTCTCTGTGTGAGTCTATGGGTCTCTGTGTGAGTCTGTGGGTCTCTGTGTGAGTCTATGGGTCTCTGTGTGAGTTTGTGGGTCTCTGTGTGAGTCTGTGGGTCTCTGTGTGAGTCTGTGGGTCTCTGTGTGAGTCTGTGGGTCTCTGTGTGAGTCTGTGGGTCTCTGTGTGAGTCTATGGGTCTCTGTGTGAGTCTATGGGTCTCTGTGTGAGTCTATGGGTCTCCGTGTGAGTCTATGGATATCTGTGAGTCTATGGGTCTCTGTGTGTGAGTCAATGGGTATCTGTGAGTCTATGGGTCTCTTTGTGAGTTTATGGGTCTCTGTGTGAGTCTATGGGCCTCTCTGTGAGTCTATAGGCCTCTGTGTGAGTCTATGGGCCTCTGTGTGAGCCTATGGGTCTCTGTGTGAGTCTGTGGGTCTCTGTGTGAGTCTGTGGGTCTCTGTGTGAGTCTGTGGGTCTCTGTGTGAGTCTGTGCGTCTCTGTGTGAGTCTGTGGGTCTCTGTGTGAGTCTATGAGTCTCTGTGTGAGTCTATGGATATCTGTGAGTCTATGGGTCTCTGTGTGTGAGTCAATGGGTATCTGTGAGTCTATGGGTCTCTGTGTGAGTCTATGGGTCTCTGTGTGAGTCTGTGGGTCTCTGTGTGAGTCTATGGGTCTCTGTGTGAGTTTGTGGGTCTCTGTGTGAGTCTGTGGGTCTCTGTGTGAGTCTGTGGGTCTCTGTGTGAGTCTGTGGGTCTCTGTGTGAGTCTGTGGGTCTCTGTGTGAGTCTATGGGTCTCTGTGTGAGTCTATGGGTCTCTGTGTGAGTCTATGGGTCTCTGTGTGAGTCTATGGGTCTCCGTGTGAGTCTATGGATATCTGTGAGTCTATGGGTCTCTGTGTGTGAGTCAATGGGTATCTGTGAGTCTATGGGTCTCTTTGTGAGTTTATGGGTCTCTGTGTGAGTCTATGGGCCTCTCTGTGAGTCTATAGGCCTCTGTGTGAGTCTATGGGCCTCTGTGTGAGCCTATGGGTCTCTGTGTGAGTCTATGGGTCTCTGTGGGAGTCTATGGATCTCTGTGTGAGTCTATTGGTCTCTGTGTGAGTCTATGGGTCTCTGTTTGAGTCTATGGGTTTCTATGTGAGTATATTAGTCTATGTGTGATTCTATGAGTCTCTGTGTGAGTCTATAGGTCTCTGTGTGAGTATTTGGGTCTCTATGTGAGTATATTAGTCTATGTGTGAGTCTATGAGTCTCTGTGTGAGTCTATGGGTCTCTGTGTGAGTCTATGGGTCTCTGTGTGAGTCTATGGGTCTCTGTGTGAATCTATGGGCCTTTGTGTGAGTCTGTGTGTGTCTATAGTGTGTGTGTATTGTGTGTGTCTATAGTGTGTGTGTGTCTATAGTGTGTGTCTATAGTGTGTGTATCTATAGTGTGTGTGTGTCTATAGTGTGTGTGTCTATAGTGTGTGTGTCTATAGTATGTGTCTATAGTGTGTGTGTGTCTATAGTGTGTGTCTATAGTGTGTGTGTGTCTAGAGTGTGTGTGTCTATAGTATGTGTCTATAGTGTGTGTGTGTCTATAGTGTGTGTCTAGAGTGTGTGTGGGTCTATGATGTGTGTGTCTATAGTGTGTGTGTCTAGAGTGTGTGTGTGTCTATAGTGTGTGTCTATAGTGTATGTCTAGAGTGTGTGTGTCTAGAGTGTGTGTGTCTATAGTGTGTGTGTGTCTATAATGTGTGTGTGTGTCTAGAGTGTGTGTGTGTCCATGGTGTGTGTGTCTACAGTGTGTGTGTCTATGGTGTGTGTGTGTCTACAGTGTGTGTCTATAGTGTATGTGTCTATAGTGTGTGTGTGTCTATGGTGTGTGTGTCTATAGTGTGTGTGTGTGTCTACAGTGTCTGTGTCTAGAGTGTATGTGTCTATAGTGTGTGTGTCTATGGTGTGTGTGT